AGACTCCTACACTCCCTGCAGTATCCTCCCCTCCCCTCCTCAGCACTTCCCTTACCCCGCGCATTTGCGGCAAAATCAGCACACGGAAGCTAGCTGGCTTCCCACACAGCGATACAGTTTGAAGTACTCTTCTAGATGCTTATCACTAGTTGCTCCGAAGCATTCACTGTCGCTGCTTCAAGGCGATTTTGCATTTTTAGGCGTTTTGAAGTGACTGATCTTGTAGCAAAAAGTCTAGTCTTACTGCATTACGAGGACGCTGTAGCGAAGGGCTAAGGTCGAGCAAAAACTGACTTCCCGCGAGCATGTAAAGTTGTTCACAGGCAACTATTAGAAATCGGCTCGGCCGGGGCAGGGCGACAGCTAAAACTCTCGCGGTACTGCCTCATCGGATTATGGAGGATTTGAGTTGGAAATTCAACTTTAATTTCAATGACGGGATAAAGGTAGGGCTGAGTAGGATGGCCGGGAATACTGGTTTAGTTTACAAGAGATCGTAATAGAGAACCGGTATAATAAATGGGAAGAGAGCTAAGATTTGTCTGGAGGTAGGAAATGGAACAGGCTTAATCATTATGGGTTATAATAAGGATTATGATGCTGAAGATGTTTCCTGTTACCTGCTTTTACAAAATTATTTTAACGTAACAGTTTTAAAGCGAAATTTGACGTTTCGTCACTAACATTTTACAGATAGCTCTGCGTAAAATAATTCTATTTTTGGGCGCATCCCAGTAATAGCAGTAACATCGGATATCTATACCGGTTATCCGGACCATCTACCAGTGCTAATAATAACAGAAAATAATAAGTTAATCATAGCAATAACAATAATAGTAATAACAACAAAAATAATAATAACAGTGGTAGTGATAACAATAATAGTGCCACTAACAACAATAATGAAGATAATAATATTAATTGTAGAAGACACAATAAAAAATAGTAATGATAAGAAAGAAAGCAATAACAATAAAAACAACTGTTATGATCGAAGAACCTTAAAGTAACAACAGTAATATTAGTCTGGCAACACCGGCAATGTTCAAGAGATAATAACAATAATATTAGTAAGAATTTCAAGGCGTGCTTTCGTACTCACTCGGTTTTCATTTCCCGCTTTTTCTTTCATATTCTTAGTTTTCATCGACGAACAACGAAGTCTACTTTTCTCCTTTAATGAGTGGACAAATTATACTCCAGACTGACATGAGACTTAGTGCTCTGCTATTCAAAATATCTGGCAAACATTTACCAAACTGCTAAATAGAGGAAAAAACAAGAAAAATTAAGCTGTTAAATCCACAAAAATTGTGTTAATATGTGTGTGTTTTATTAGACTGATTCTTCTGATAACTGATCACTGCATTCGTTGAGAAAATTTTCGGCTCGCTCCAGAATATTTTTCGGGATTTTCTTCCGGATTGCCAAATAGCGCATAAAGTGCTTGTGTACGGCAAGATACTGCTTCCAGGACTGTAAGCAAACAAACAAACCCGTTTTGCAATAATCTGTTTCTCTTGGATAAGCTAAACGCCAGTGCTGTTTCTAAAATCATGACAGGACTTTTGATTTGGCATTGACAATTTTACTGAGCTGAAAGCAAAAACCGGACGAAATTACGCTTGAATAGAGATTGATACTGACCAATATACAGTAGAAAAATTATGAGAGTGAAAATGCTTACATTAACGGCCTGAGCGCGTTGTTTCCGGAAGTTTGAAAGTAAATCAGCCATATCACACCTTTTACCATTACTCAGCATTTCAAGAGTAAGTTCGATAGCAATGAATGTCGCCGAACGACCAATACCGGTGGTACAATGCACTGTTATTGGATGCCTAGATATTAAAAGTAGAGGTCAAAATTATTAACGATGCTCAGAAAAAAAACTGATGGAACCACTAATTTGCTGTCGAAATGAATGAAAAGTGATTGACTGTCTTATTGGTGGAGTCGAATATTTTACCTTCAGCGTGAGAATTTATAAGTCAAAATTCGCGAAAGCTGGATGGGTGATGAATTTAGTAGCGTGTTCTCTTCAATTTAAGTTAAAGGGACGATGTTTGAGTAAAATTTTTCCGCGCAAAAGTCAAATTTATGAGCAATACCCATGTTGCCAGTTACATGCGGATCTAGGGCAGCCCCTGGAGCGGGGGGAGGGAGGGGGAGAGGGGAGGGGCGAGGGGTGATTTGTACGATTCTTCCCTCCCCCACCGTTCGTTACTACATCGAAAGCCCCACTCCCCCTCTCCCCGTAAGTCCCTCACCTCACTGCCCTCTCTCCGTCCTCGGTTGATCATCCCGCTACACTTCCTTCCGCCCGTCGTCGCTCTCTGTCAACGACCGGGATGGGAGGAAGGGGGGAAAAAACAAGAACGTAAGGGAGAGAAAGAGGGAGGGAGGAGGGGACGACCAGTGATGCCAACGACAATTTTCTACACTTTTAGCACTGCAAATTGAGCTCCTGAGAAAGTCTCCCTCCCCCCCCCCCCCCCCCCCCCCCCCCCCCCCCC